GCAGATGAGTTATGCTCAATGTTTGGTACTGTGACCTGTGATGCAACACAAAGGAATGGTTGTTGTTGCCTAAACTTTAATGGAGTTAATCCTCCCAAATGCTGACAAATTACAGCCTCGGGCTATTTAAAATCACATTTCTAATGCAATAATCCTATCTGCATTACAATGAGTTAGGATGAAATGATTAGGTGCCTGAGATTTTTTTGCACAGTGAATTAAGTCACTATACAGACTGGCCGTGCTTGTTCACAAATTAAAGGTCTGGATGGAAATGAAATTCCATTATTCTGCCACTTGCTAAGCTTTGAGGAAGGGTTTATTACTGTCCTGTCTCTACTGGGAATGTTTCTAAAGTAGCTACCAGCTAACAGAAACCTATTTTTCATTACATCAGCTTCAGGACTTTCCTCATTATTAATAATTACGAGTCAAGTCTTTGACCACTGAATGAGAAGACTAATTCAACAATATGTAAGCAAAAAAATTGGCTAGTGCCAGTAAACAGGCAAAAAAAACCTAAAACAAAACTGTACCCTGAATGCCAGTTCCTTCCTTCCCTCTTGCGCTCAGAGGGATGGAAAAAACTGTGCTTAGAATTTACCCAACTCTTATACTCAGAAGTACAGACTTTTTAGGTAAGGAGAGATCCACAATATAAACCACCTAACAACATCAGTGCTATCCATCCTCACCATTTATAGTAGACCCTTACTTCCTGACCCAATCACAGTATGCCCAGGCAGCAATTCATGTCTACACACTCAAATTAGCTCAGTTTAAAGGCTGTATTCAGGATTTTTGGAACCACATACTAAGAAATTTATAACTGTCAGCTTGTGAGCATTCTTATTAGCATTCCACGGATTATTGGCACACAATATAATTTGTTACACATCAATATAGCAACTCTTCAATTGTTAGATGCCTGTGAGGTGATCATTGAAGACAGGTGATATCCAGGCTTGAATTCAAAGCAAACTGATTTAACAGAAATTTTTATAAATTTGGAAGTATGATGCCATAAATTCCTATACTGCCTGATGTTCTTCTAAAAATACAGCCTAGGAAAAATCTTAGCATAAAAAAATAAACCTCTATTAGTAATTTGAGATAATCTTTATCATCATGCAACACAAACCCCACAAACAACAGGCACCAAAAGCTCCAAGATGTCCTCAGTCACAAACTGCAGTGTGCAGCTATCTCAACCACCTGTGCTAGTCATTTCCCACAGGCCTGCTTTGCTTGGGGGTTATAATAAGATTTAATTCACGTAAAATATAACCCCTTCTATGCACGTAATTGCTGAACATCATTAAGTCACATCTGTACTACAAGAGGAGGAAAAAGAAACAATAAGCTTTTAGCACTATTCTTTTTGCTGTTGGCAGGGAACCTGGCATTTTAAATGGTTAAAATAAATTAATGTAACTACAATTATATATTCTTCACCTTTGTACCTCACAAAAAAAAAAAAAAAAAAAAAAAAAAAAAAAACAAACATGAAGTTTCCATCCTGTTGATGTATTAGGAGAGAATGTTTCTATTTAGAATGGAAAACTAAACACCTCAACACTAACAATGGCCTAGTCAGAAGCAGCTTGCTCTAGCTTAAGTGTGGCTTTTTCTCAATCAAATGAAAAGCTTCAGTACATAGCTTCATGCACAAAGCCTGCTCTGTTTATGAAGCAATTAAGCATACTATTACACTTGACAGATATACACAAACCTTTACATGACTGTACACTGTCAGAAATATCAGTGTGGGTTCACATTTGGATAGGTTACTGCAGACTCCAATCTCTGCTACTAGATACACATTAAAACGCAGATACTCTCATATTCTGCTTGTTGTGCAACACACACTATCCCAGATGATGAGCATTTCTAAATACAGCATAAATGGGAAACAGGTGCTACAGACTGTACTTATAATACCATAGTACTCATAATCCCATAATACTAGGCTGTCTTCAACAGCAACAACAGAAAATATCTCAGATCTGGTGACTAAAAGATGACAGACATTTTAAATGCTTCATTTAATAGTTCTAATAAAGGAATATCACCAGTTAGCTGTGTCCTACGGGCACCAGAGTCTTGAGTTGTAGGATGCTTTGCAAGTTCTGAGGGAATACCCAGAATCAGGAATATGATCTGCTCCTTCTCCCACTTAATTTAAGGGCCAGGATCCATTCCACACTCAAACAACCCCTATTTCCATAGCAGCAATTAAGAGCAGACCTCACAGGACCCTGAGAAAATGCCAGCTACATTAACACAGTGTGGTTAGACTTCAGTCTCAATCCAAACCAAAGCCGGTTTTGCCCCGACACAAAGAGGTTTCCACATTTTTGAGAAACCCTGTACATCTCACCCTGAGAAGGGACTCTCTTAGTGTTACTATGGCACACACAGAGGCAGCTCACAAGCCCTGACTGAACTAGCAGGGCCCATGCCAGCACCTTGCTTTCCTCAAAGCAGACACTGATAAGGCTACCGCATTACACCAGGAAAAACAAACTTAAGACCACCACAGTACACCCAATCCAAGAAGTCAATGGCACCAGCCATGATGTTTGTGTCCCACATCATCCAGCCCAGAGCATCACTCTGCTGGGCAGCACCTGCTGAAGGCAAAAATCACAAGCCTGGAAAGTCCTTTGCAGTCACAAGCCAGAAAGGATGAGGGCAAGAGATGCTTCTGCAAACAGTCACAGCCAGCAGCACCCACCACAGAAAGGAGTTGAGGTACTCACAACAAGAATGCCTCAACAAGACTGAGCCTGCAGATACTATTAAGCATAGCAAATAGGGCAGAGGGTCACCCAAGCCCATGGAGACCACCTTACTTGTGCCTCCTCCCTTGCTCCTAAATGCACAGACCCAACAGCACTTCTGTCAGTGGCACTCCTACAGAAGTGGAAGGTTTGGAAAGGAGGTGTAAGAAAGAAAAAAGAACATAGGTAAGGAGGCTAAAAGGCTACTGATACAAATCAAGACTGGTCTGTACAACATCATCAGCTAAACTAAGTGAACAGCAGAACAAATAGCAGCAGAAACACAAGGGTAACTTCTCAGGAAGGCTAGGATGGGCAATGTCAATCACTATTGCAGTAAAGGAACCCTCTGCAAACATTTATGTGACTAAAGTCAGTCAATTTCTATTTAACACCATGCCTTGATGTTAGTTTCATCCTCCCCTCCACCCCTAATCTCAGTTATTCTGATGGCTCCCCTATCTGTATCAGTAATTTCCCACCTATACTCACAGCTGGTAATTACTGTCAAATCTAACAGCCTGAAATTTGACAAGATTTTGGTACAGGGCCACTTTAAAGAGAATCAACAATATATTAATGGTTAAATTTACTAATAATTTTGGTGGATCTACCTTTCCCTGTTCATGAATAATTCAGTTAAGTCAGCTCTTGAGACAAGGTAACAACCAGCCCTCGAGCCTTTTGTTCATGAGAGCACCAACTCCCTCCCAAAGAGCACATAAATAAATCATGGAGAGTACAACACAACAGCAATATCAGGGACCCTCTCCCAGCAGTCGGCTCTTTTCCATGATACCTCTTTATTGTATCCACTAATGAAAACTCTTTGAAGTGGAAGAGTAAATATTATCATTTGATAGTACCTGGACCCAACAAGGCAAACAAAATTGCATTGTACTACATTCCAGGAGCTGCAGACCCACTCACAATGCAACACTCACAGGGTTGCTATGGAGGAACCCAATGCTTACTATTTTAGTAGCATGAGGTCAGCCAAGGGCTGCTGGTCACTGGTTTAGGGTTGTTAGCCTTAATCTTATATGCACAACAAAAAGGAAAAAAAAAAAAAAAAGCCAAACAAAACAAAACCAAGAAATCACAGAGTATGCCTTTGGAGGTACCAAATACCCCAAGAGAGGCAGAAAGCAGGTTTCCAACTGTATTGAGGATGAGTCAGCTCTTAAAACATGAGACAAAATGTCAGCAATGCTTATATCCTCTTCCAGCACAGGATTATTCAACCCAACATTCAGAGTCCAGCAGCTTCAAGTATTTTCAAGTCTTATTGGGAATTTAAAAAAAAATTGGCACTTCTCTATAAGCGAAGCATCTCCAAGTTATTCTTCTGCTAAAGACACCTGGGAGAACTGGGTTCAATGCCATGGTCTGCCACAGCCTCACTGAGTGACCTTTGGGCTCACACAGCATTTCAATGCCTCCTGTGGATCCGGAGCTACAGAAGGGTTTCTCCCTCAATGGAAGTAGAAACCACTGGCATCAGACCATAGGTACACACCTCACTACTAAGTTGGCTGCCAATTCTAAGGACGATTTGTAAATCCATCCTTTAGGAATCAAAGATAGCAAAAGGGCAAGGGACCAGTGACTCCGATGTAATATTCCCACCCTTACTTACCCCCACCACCAAAAAAAAAAACCCAAAAAAAAAAAAAAAAAAAAAAAAAAAAAAAAAAAAAAAAAAAAAAAACAGCACAGAATCACTGTCAATACAGTAATACAGTGAAAGACAGGAGAAAAGAAGCGCGCTGGAAGGACTGTCACAGATGCCCCTGAAGCCAGGCAGCCCTCCGGAGACAGAGGCACGCTGCTCCGCATGACGGAGGGGATGGAAAAAGGGAACAAGACCAAGAAGGGGAGAACACAAATAAACGGCAAAGAGCTCGGCGGTGCCACCGGCAGAGGGGAGCCCAGGTGGCCGACAGCCCCGGCTGATGCTGGGGGCCGCTCCGGGCACAGGGACCCCCGCCTCCCCCGGCCCCGCGCTCACCTTGCTGCTGACGGGCCCGGGGATGAGGAGCTTCAGCGCCTGCCTCTTCAGCTCCGCCAGGCGGGCGTTGCAGTGCTCGCACCAGACGCCGCGGTCCGAGCCCGGCGAGGAGCCGCCGCCGCTGCCGGAGCCCGGCGAGCCGGTGCCGAAGCCCGGCGAGCCGCCCAGGGAGCCGGGGGAGCTGGTGCCGATGCCGGGCGAGGCGGGCCCCGGCGAGCCGGTGAAGGATCCCGGCGAAGAGGTGCCGGAGCCGGGGGACGGGGTGCCGGAGGAGCCCAGGGCAGAGCCAGCTCCCTCCGGCGCCGGGCGCCCGCCCGCCCGGGACTCCTCGTACGCCTTCCGGTACCAGCTCTCGGGGGAGAAGGGGGCGGCGGGCTTGGTGGGGGAGCAGGGGTCGGTCACCTGGAGCGGGAGAAGGAGCAGCGGGTCAGGCAGGGAGGCCCGGCGGCGCCGGGAAGTTTCGTTCGGACGCTCCGCGCCCGCGGTGGCCCCCGCGCCGCGCCCGCCCCGCACCGCGGAAGTTGCGCGGGGCCGGGGGACGATCGCCGGCAGCCGCCGGGAGGGAGGCGCAGGAACCCCGGCCGGTGGCAACCACCGCTCCGAGCCGCCCCGGCGTCGACAACTTACCCCATATTTTCTGCTCCGCGCCGTGACCGCAATCCTCTCCTTATTTCCAGCCACTGAATTCATGGTGGCTTCGCAGGGCGGCGGGAGAATCTCCTGCAGGTTTCCCAGTCCGCATCCGAAGGGAATAGCCGGTCCCGGGAAGTCCCCCGCGGAGCGGGCAGGCTTGCCCCCTCCGCCGCCTTCGACGGGATTGCTCAGCCCCAAAACACCCGTCAGTTCTCGGGAAAACGCTTTGGGCTGAGGTTCTCTCCCGGTCGGTTTTTCTTCATTGTCTCCCCTTTCATTCCCTTACAACCCTTGTTTTCACAAAAACAGCAACATCCAAATCAGGAGCGGTCCCCCCCGACAGGCAGCACAGCTCTCATCCGCAAGTGAGGTGAAGCATCCAAGGTAGCCTCGGGAAGGCGAAAGAAGGAGCGAGAGCCGCGCTCTCCCAAGCAGAGGCGCTTTCTGCCTCCGCTACAGCGGCAACTTGTTCTCTTCACCAAGGTTTGTAACTGAGTTAGAAGAAATCCTCCAAAAATATCGGGATCCAGGCTCTGGGAGGAGCCTCCGCGCCCCTTGCAGCCAATATCCTCCTGCCCATTTGTGCCTGACAGTTTTGGAAGGGAGGGAAGGAAAGACCCGGGCTGCGGAGCCCCGTGCGCTCCCCGGTCAGCGGCGGAGCTGCAGGGCTGGCGGCGCCGGAGGCTGCCAGCAGACTGCCAGAGCCTCACCGCTGCTCTGCGCGAAGCCTCGGCTGCCGGGAGGGTCCATTTTATTTTGCAGTATTTCTTGATTGACGTCTGTGATTTCCCCCCGTTCTTGGAAAGGGCGGGTGGGTGCGAGGAGGGGGGAGAACCTTGTTGCTTCCACCGCAGTTATTGGTTAGTTGCCTCTATTCAGGCTTTAATGAACGTGATTTCACAAGTGTTCCCAATCCTCCCTAAATAACTAGGAAAGAAAAGCAAGCTGTATTTATGACAGTCACTGGCATCTCTTTTCCATCTTGTAATTTTACGTGTATTAATTTAACTAGCAGTCAAGGGCATAATAAATTGATCTCTTAACAATGAAATTCTACAGACTTGTGTCCCTGTAAATCTTTCCTTTCTAATTACTATTTCCATTTGCTAATCATGTGTATCTGTTACATATCCTTTTTTATTTCAAATCCTGTAGATAGAAAAATCATCTCTAATAAATCTTCCCCCTCAAAACGAGTTAGTAATTTTCTCAGAAATGGAGGCAATAAAGAGCTAAATGCCAGATCCCCTGATAGGATCATAACATGGATAGGTTGATACAACTGAGAGGGCAGAACACACAAGGGACTTGCATCCACCTTTCCAACCTCCTATTGTTACTTCCACAGAAACGCATCCTTCCAGCATCCCTACTGTACCTGGGCCACAACAGCCATGAGGAAACAGAACCAGCCTGCTGAATCGCTGAGCAAGGATTCTCCCAGTGCTTGCATGTCTTTACAGATACTCTACCAGTAGTAAAGATGTGTAAAATGCTCTGCTGCGTTTTCACTTCACTATGTTGTCACTCTGAGAGAGGAACAGCCATTCCTGATGTGTTTAGGAAAGCTTTAATCTAAAGCTGACACAAGTGATGCCATCCAAGATAGCCAGGCTGCATCGGTAGTACCTTGTGCATTTACATAAGTGACCCCAAAAAGCGGAACGAACGGGCAAACAAAGGAGGTGCACCCCAGTTGCTGTTACATGTGAATGGGTTTCACATAAATCCGCATGCGGAGATCCCGTGGTTTGTTCCGTAGGCAGACGTGAGAGGGATGACAAGGTAAGGCAGGGAAACGCCGTGCGAGCCCACAGCGGCGCAGAGCTGCACAGCCTCCCCTGGCCCCGCGGTGCTCACTGGGGGCAGTGCTCACCCTGCGGTGGAGAACTGCTCCTTCTCCGGCCTCAGTCCTGATGCCGAGCTGGCAGATTTCCTTCGTTTTTCGGCAGACCTTGAATTCCCCAGCTGCCAGCTCTGCCTGCCTAACCACGTCCGCTGCCGGGGACCGTGGCCCCGGGCTAAGCACCGCGCTGCCGCCAGTGCCGCGGGCAGGGGCGCGCTGGTCCCTCCCGGGCCGCACGCCGAGCTCTGCCGGCCCCGCGGCCGCCGCTCCCGCACAGACCCAGTCCCGGGGCGGCAGCGGCTGGCGGGGCAGAGGCGCCGGGCGGGGGAAGCGCGGGGGGGCGGGCACCGTCCCGCCCGCACCGGGACCGGGACCGGGACGGGCGCGGCGCTGCCCCTGCTCGGGGAACCCCCGGCCTGCGGCTCCTCCGGGCACGGCGGCAAAGGGCTGCGCCCCTCCTCAGGCGGAACTCTTCCCAGGACTCTTAGAGCCCGGCTGGTTGAGGGTCCAAATGAGATGGGTTCACTCTCACGGCTCCGGTAGGGTGCCTGCCAGCGCAGCGGGTGAAGGGGTGCTGGAGCCGATGGAGTGGCCCAGCAGGGCAGAAACCTTCCACATGGCAGGGTCTTGAGGAGGATGGCTTTCTCGGTCCTTAGCTCATAGCCGAGTTTGGTTAGAGGTGGAGGAGTAAGGTCATGTCTGGTGAGAAGGCAGAACACCTCCAGCCGGAAAATGAGGACCTCAGGACATGGTGAAACTGAGCTTTAAGCCTGACGAGTCTCAGTAGCAAATTTGCATTTGTCTCACGTTGTCTCATATCTCACGTTGGCAGGAAATGTTAAGAAGGTGCATTTGGAGAGCACCTCTTACAGCTTGCAGGTTTGTGACTTTGTTGGTCAATAGCTCTGTTGCTGTTGCATCAGCTCTCCTTCCTGACAGATGTCAGTATTTACTGGCACTTTGGTTTTCAAGAAAGATTTTACTTAATTGTGAAGAATTTTGGAAGCTGATAGTCCAAATTTTCTAGTTTGAGGTATTTTGCTGCTAAAATCTTTCCCATTCTTGTTATTTCGTGCTGAGCCAAGTATGGGACACAATAGTATCACTCCAACAAGAAGCTCTGCTAAGAGCCCTTTCTCTAAGTTAAAAATTTTCTCTCTGAGAAGCATTGACGTACGGCTTTTTCCCTCCCTTTAGGCTCTCTAATGTGGAAGTTGGTTTGGTTTCCTCTTACAAAAACCTTACACTCCATATGTATTTCCACTAATGAAAGATAATTAGCAGAATTACCAACATGCCAATGGCAGGCAGCTCCACAGCACTCAAGTTTACACATTTCTTCTGTCATTGTAGTCATGGGAATCTGCCTTAACCTTAGTCCTGGTAAATCATTTATGCTAACAGCTCAGAAGTTAGACTGATTGTTGTTCTTAATTTGAGACAGATCTGAAAAAAGTGGGCTGTTCTGACATTTGTGAGTAAATGGGCAAGAGCCAAAGCCCTTGGATGCAGGTTTAAGTGTCAGAGGTTAAAGCTAAAGCTGGTCTCAAAGCATTGTGGCTGGATTTTGATCTCAATCTAGGTATGACACATTTGTGGACTGTTATGGCCTGTCTTTTAGCAAGTATAAAACCTTTCAGTTTCTCCATCATACTGCAGTGTGTTTGCCATGGTGTAGCACTTCTCTGCTGCCTTCAGTGGATTTCTTCTGAGCATTTCTCAGTGTGAGTGCAATTAAATCCAACCTAGAAGTTCAGCTTCATCACTCAAATCTGAGATCCTGGCACAAGCCCAGTTCTATCGACAAACAGCAGTTTATAAGAGCTGGAAATGTTGGCTGCATCAAGGAAGTGCTTTGAGGTATTCACATTTTTAATAAATTTTAGAATACAAAAGGTGACAGCAAGTGTAACTTGAAGAGTCATCGCTGCCTGCACAGAAGCTTTGTTTCCAGGTTTGGTGCTAATAAGTCTCAGTATCAGGTCTTACTCACAATTTTTAAAAGCTTCCTAGGGGAGACTTGAAATGCATGACAGCTCTGATACTTGCTTAAAGCTGCATATGAATGAGCTGGAGTCCATTGGGGGACAGTGAGGAAATTGAAGGCATTTGTAGTAATACTGACAAAGAATTAATTGTAAAGAAAGAAACAGCTAATTATTAAGAGCTACAAGTAAAATCACCAGAACTTTCTCAGTTTGACATATTTAATCTCTAAAATCATTCCAGTTCTTGCTCTCTTCCACTTGCCAAACTATAGGACCTTTTCAGTAAAAAGCAAAGTACTTCAAACACATTAAGTCCCTTTATCCTTTTGTATAGCTTCCACATGAGAGAAGCACACATCACCACAGTCTGAGTATTCTGCCAGGTTTATGAATACATGCAGTACAGGAGGAAATCAGCTGGATGAACCAAATTTGTTCTTCTGGTGCTGTAGGTAAGGTTCCTTCCTTAGTATCTGGGATATACAATGTGTGTGTAGGGTGTTTCCCTACTTGCTCTTGACAATTGTTGAGCATGATGTCATGGAGAATGAAGGCTGGGCATTTCCTCAGTATGAGCTGTCTGCTGGGGGTTTGCTATACCACAATTTCTAAGTCAGTCCCAAGATTTACCGTGTGTGTCAGGGTAAAAGTAGACTGACAGTGGAAAATAAGTACTTCCCAGTCACTGCTACAATCCCTAGTTCCAGGTGGTATAGCATAGACAGGGAACCCTCCAGGTTGTCCTTATTACAGCTTCTGCTTCCTGCTGTTATCAGCAGACCCAAATCAGTCCACTTTGAGTATACCTTTTCCTACAGCACACAACAGCAGGGTCTTCCTGTGCTCCTGACAGGGCTACATCTCCCTGTTTCCTTGGTGTAGTCCTTTTGCCTCAGGGCCATTGCACAGATGTTAGTCTGTACTCTCCTTGCTCCACTGAGAGCCTCCTTGAATATCTCCATAAAATAAAAGGAAGCTGCTTGTATTCAAATTCAGACAGAGTCTCATTCTGTTTCAAACCAGTTGTCTTTAAAATTCACCTGTGCTCGACACCAGAAACAATCTATTTTCCACAAAGGACTGTCTATTTGGATTCACTTTGAATGGAATTTTTTTCTGTATTTCAAATGTAAAATATTCCATAGATTTTTTAGAAACTGCTGTCATAGTTTCTGCCACACAGCTCTGCCTTTTTCCATAAATCTTTATGTTCTCAGTAAAAATCAATGTCTGCTTATTAATAAAATATTGATGTGTTTTTCATAAGTAATAAAGGATACAGTGTCATGCACATACATATACTCATGGAGCAGGATTGCATGGAGAAGTTTGCAATCATTTTGTGCAGTGGGATGCATTGCAATTACAGGCATGCAGCCAATTTTGGTTAAGTTCATAAATTCAAATACTGAAATGTGACAGAATCCCATTTTCTGTTTCTCAGGCACAATAAGTATTCATTGCAACTCCAGAACTAAAGACAAGCCTGAAAAATTGGGAGTACCTATAAATTGCAAAGCACCAAGTCTTAGCAATGCAGATATTACATAGAACAGCAACCGAGCAAAAAATCATTGGAGTAACAACAGCCAGTCATAGTCTCTAATGAAGAAAGATACAGGCTGCTTCTTGTCTAGAAACCTTGCTTGCCTCTATGGACCTCCTGAATTGCCAGGAATTGGCTCTGGAATGCTGCTAGCAATTTCCCCTGAGCAGAGAGACATGGCTGAAGATATTAAAGGGCAAAATATTTATTTTAAATGTTCTTCAAAGAACCTTCTAGCTACCAAGGAAAAACATGTCTTCCAAAAGAATTGCTTTCAGTAAATATCTTTGGGCAGAAGAGGGGAGAAGGTGGTATTAATGGTACTAGCAAATAACAGCATTAATAGGAGGAATATAGGCCAGCACATGCCAAAGTGAGAAAGCAGGCAAAGGAGGGTAGCAAGTGCCAAGCCAGCATGTGTGCCTGCTTCACCCTAGGAGCCAGGGACACAGGGCAGATGGTGTGGAAGGGGGTAAGTGGCCACAGCACAGCAAAGTGACCAAGCAGCCCTGAGAAACAAGCAGCAGAACATTTTTATCATCACATTTTTATGCTGCATCCTTTCTTGTTGCAGGAGTAATTTATAGCAGTGCAGATCAGCTACAGAGCTGGCATCACAGACACTAGCCTATCATAGTCTTGAATGTGTAAATGCCTTAAATGAAAGATGATACAGAAGGCAGCAGGCATTTCTTTCCTGCCCCTCAGCTCACGTGAGGTGAACTAATTCAACTCAGTGCCCAAGAAACAGAATTACATTTGTGATAAGCTGTGTCAGAGGTCTCGCCACAGTGTGTTCCTGAGATTTTTATAACAGTAGTCACTCCAGATCTCAGAGCATTTGTTTAATCTGAAACTTTTTTTCAGCTCCTCTTCAAACACTTCATACACTCCTTTTATCCCCAGTTTAGGTTTAAAAGTGAACCCTAGAGCTTGCAGATTTCAAAAAATTTTATTGTTCCATTTTTCTCTTTGCAGTAGATCATTCCACACTGATTATATTCTTTATGAAGCAACTGCAGAGGGCTGATGACTGGCTTATCTGCCTGCCATTTCCCTCA